CTTTATCAAGAAATGTTATTTATAGTTATTTACTAATTGTTTCCAGAATGGTTTCTGGCTTGCACAATTTTGCAGTTTGACCAGACTTAATATATCTTGCTGCTAAAATGAAGAGTAAACAATTCATAAATAAAAGTCAGGTAAAAACAATAACACATACTTAGTTGTTTTAAACACATGCAGTTGCAGCCAGTCATTGGAATCCGTGTTGATGTTTTACATAATGTATTTATAGAAATCCAGAGTTTGACTTTTTCCCATTTTTAATTATAGAGTAAAGGGTTACAAATTGGCAATTATACCTCTTTGAAATACATACTTACGCTATGTATTTGTTTATGTAGACTTTCTTTTGTTTGTGTATTTATTTATTTATATATTTATTTATTGATGTGCAATTTGTATATTTTATGAGGTTTTACGCGTTGGTAAACTTGATTGATTTTTTCAAAGGTCCACTAGTTTGAACCCTATTTAACCCTGAGTTTTTAAACTTCTGTTTGTATTTCAAAAATTAATTTTATTAGTGGAAACAATTTTTTTTAGTCTGGCACTTCAAAATTGTAAGCTCAATTGCTTGAAAAATATCAGAAGAGAATCTTTGAAACACAGATAATATAGTATTGGAATTTTTTTAAAGATAACCATTTTATTCATTTTCTGGCCTAGTTCATTTTGAAAACTGTGATGGGAAAATCTGTGTAGGGTTGTTAGAGAGATTGGAGGGGGGCAGGGGGCAGAAAAATAGATTTTGTTTTTTAAGACAGCTGTTCAAAGATGTATTGACATGCTGTTTGAACCCACCTATGTGCAATATTTAAAAAGCCATTTTCGTCAAGTTTACATTTTGCAGCTTGATATTTTTACATATTTTATAATAGAAAAGTTACCATTAGGGTCTTTTAAGCTTTGAGAAAAAAAATGTCATATTGCAGTTATTAGACCTAATTAGACCTTTATCCAGGTATATAGGATACTAGTTGCATTCTCTTGAAGTATATGTATGTTAAACCTAGACTTACCCTGCTGGAAGCCAAAGTGACCTAGTATAGAGGCAAACCAGCGTGCACATCCGTACAGGGTGGTCAGTCTCTACTCCGTTGGCAGTTTAATTTTTGTATTTTATGAAATCCAATAAACTTCAAATGGAATCACTCAAAATGCAAATGGACTGTTTCAAGTTCAAAGGGAGAGTCTATTATACAAACTCTGAAACTCAACAGTGTGAGAGTTGTCTTTACCACCAAAGATTTAATAGTCGCTTTAGACATGTTCATGTTTTAGAGATATAGATTTTTGCAAGGTTTGGACCATTTATGTTTTTGCTTTGCTTTTAAAGTGATGATGTTATTGTTGTATTTGTTTTGTTTCTTTTACTCTATTTACATTTTCCTCTATACTCTAGTCATTGACTTTGATTGACATGTAAACTTGTTTGAATAAATATGTGTTGACAAAAATGTCTGTATAATCATTTGAACATGGGCCATCCCCCGTCGAATGTGTTTGATCATAGGAAGTGTATATGTAGCAGAATAATCAATCTAAAGAGGTCTTTTGGTAATGAAAACTGATAGCTGAAGTGATTACAGATTTGAAACCTATGTGAAAACTGATGGCTGAAAATAACAAAGGACTATAACTGAAAAATAATGAAGGGTATGTTATCATTCTTGTGTGCTGCACTACTCCTCAATGAGATCTATCCACCTATGAAGTTTCAAGTTGATATCTCAAAGGCTTTTTGAGTTATGCTCGGGACAAAAATTAAGTTTGAAAAATAACAAAGGGCAATAACTGAAAAATTATGCAGGGTAGAGTTATCATTCTTTTGCACTGCACTCCTCCTCAATATGATCTATCCACCTATGAAGTTTCAAGTTGATACCTCAAATACTTTATGAGATATGCTCGGGACAAACATGTCGGACGGAAGGACGTACGGACGGACGGAGACTTTTTCTATACCCCCCCCCCCCGACTTTCGGCGGGGGATAATAATCCCAGCACGAGTTTGACAGTGACGCCATTGCTTTAGTTGGCGCAGCGTCAGTCGTCATGCATGGTTTTCTTTCCCATATATGTATGTACAACCTTAAAAATGAAAAGCAGGTACTATGGGGTGCCATATCGATTTGATATGAACTTTTTGTACGTTGGAAAGAAAACGAGACTAAATTGCTAAGATTTGATCCTAAAATGATTTGTTGGAGCATCACGCACGTAATGCAAATGCTGAAAGTGTAAGGTATGAAATAAATAGAGGATATTTGTTTGTTTTGCATGTAAGATTGAAATATAATTTCACTGAGTGAACACCAGATGCAATATTTTCACGAGTGGCGTAGCCACGAGTGAAAATATAATAGCTGGTGTTCACGAATGAAATATATTTCAATCTTATATGTAAAACAAATAAATTTTCTTTTTATTTTATGCTTTTTCAGCGACTTTAAGTAATTTTTTACTGATTTTGCCGCGTAACGTCACGCATTCTCCTTTGTGACGTCATATATATCATGACGTCACATCATCAGTTTTGAAATCTAGTTCCGTTGAATTTCTCTAATTTTGTTAAATTTCTAACATGATCTATGATGACATTGACTTTCTTTTCCTAAAGAAGCAAAATTTACGTATGACGGCATTTATTTATGCCTGTTATTCCATTTAGTTATGATTTTCTGTTCATCCGCATTCAGATATAGTCCGGCTACAGTGAAAATTATATTTTATAAATTTCACTAGTGGTTTATCAGAATATAATCATCTGATATATTACAATAAAACACTGGAAAGCATGAAATAAATTATTTTATGCATTTCTTTCATACTAACAGGGATGTAGATATTACAATAAATCCCTGATCTTATTCTATTTCTACAGTTTGACTGCGTTCTGTTCCTTTAATACATCCGTTCGAAAGCCACATCAATTTCAGCACAGTATCCGCCATTTATTGCACAATTCTGCGTTACTTTTTGCACGAATCGTGTGTCATTTTCACATTCCGGCGTTACTGGATATACGCGGTGTATAAGTGGTGAGAAGGGTATAAATTTACTTAAAGGCCCATCATGTCCCAGAAATGTTCTATTCTTATTTCTAAAAAATCTTTTTAGTGTCCTGTTAAAGTTTCCATAATGTTACTCATTACCTAGTTACCCGGACCTTCTTTTGATTGTTTTGCTTTTTGGAGTTAGCATAAATATAGTTATTTTGTATGGATGACAAAATACTATATTATATTTACATTTTGCTACTTTCATGAAAAAAAAAAGAACAAACGCATTCAGCGCTACTTTCTTCAGGTGATAAGCACCAAACCATTATTTGAACATTATAAAACTCATGCGCCCCCTTTCTAATGAAGTAAAATTTATTCGTTTCTAAGGCATAATATGCCTTTGCGTGTATTTTGGGCAAATCCACTCATTTCTTGTTCATAATCAATAAGGAAAGCTCATTTAAGACGAAGACAAAAGAAAAATAAATCAAAGTGCTGCAGCACTGAATGCGACGGACATGCAACCGGGGAGACATTAAGGCTTCTTTTAGAAAAAAACAAACAAAAAAAAACAACAAAACACAAAATATATAACAGAGAAAATTTGTTCCATACAAGTTCGAGATTTGTAGAGCAATATATTTTGTGTCCCAAATTGATATAATTCAGATTTTCTACTTTCAAGCACTTAAATACAGAATGAAATTTATGCCTAAAAACTCTGGTCAAACTTGTAAATCAGTGTCCTTATCGATTTATTCTAAGATATGATATGTGAATAGAAAAACTATCCACGAAATATTTCTAGAATAAATCCAGGCAAATAAACTTCAAACATAATACATTATACATTTGAGAATGCTATTTAGAATCGCTTCGTGTTATATCAAATTGGGCATATAGACAATAAAATATAAGTCATTTGTATTTTTATTTCTCTTGGATATGTCTCATTAAAAAAAAATGGTTAAAATCATCCGCAATTAATAGTGTATTTCTTAGATTTTTTTTATTTACAAGGTAAAGATGTAGAGGCCAGAGCACGTCGTTTTTATTTTAATTTAAATGTCACTTAAGCACTACAGTGTTTAGTTGTCCTTTTCAACTTCACACTAAATTCCATTTTCAACTTGTTTGCTTCTTACAATTGTATAGAATTTCTAAAAGTATTGCATGTAATCCGCTGGTTTATTAATTACATGTTTAATGTGTACTTCCTAATCGCCTGTCCAAAAATCAGAACAGGTGAAGCAGAATCTATTTTTAGAATAGCGAAGGTTAACTCATATCATGACCTAGTAAAATATGTAAACAAACCACAAGAATCGGAAGTAGAACTGATATTATAACTTCCTTACCATGAAAGACTACATGGCGGTAAAGTGTTGTAAAACTCTCTTCTTACATGTATTTTCAAAAATAGATATTTATACTAACCATTGTACTGTATCTAATATATTAATAACTGCTGAATATTCAGCTAAACCCGCGGTATGAGTCACGAAAATAGTTCTTCTTTTATTAATGCGCGAGTTATCCTAGAGTCACGAAAAACTTTTGATTTGTTAATAATAATGTTTTGTATAATGTAGAAATATTTATTTCCTACTAATAATGTCTTGGAACTCAGAGGTTACACCTTTATTGTAGTATAATTTGCTGTCCTACTTTTTCGACAGCGGTAAATCGTTTCAGCAGTAATTTGCATATTGCGCAATAATACTACGGGACTACAACGCTTTTATCAATAATATACGTTCATATTTTAACTTGGATAACTTAATTTGAAATTGAAAAGGCTAAATATGGAAGACATTAAGATATCCAGACAAAGTATGGGAGTTTTGAAGGATCAAATTCATGTACTATTTCTTGGGCTGTTAATTGGTTTAGGACACATTGCGCGATTGTAGCCAACGAAATCCCATGTGTAGATGACTTAGCTCTGAACGCGCCTGAGGGCGCGTCCGTCGCAAAAAAACACAACATAAGTTATTATTTACAGCATGTATTTCACAAAAACCTAGAAATTGTATAACAAACAATAACACCCAGTTACATCTAAGAAATGCATGATATTAACATGGTATGAACATTGAATGATTGCAAAGCATTTGACCTGTTTATTGTCCTGCAAATAATTATACTCGTTGGTAATGTGTGGAATAAAATGTTTATGATTTAACGTTACGATCAATTAGGATCAAAATGTCACAAAAATAGCTCAGGCTTGAAAACGCTTTCTTCTACTAAATGAGATTCCTTCTATTTTGACTGCATCATTTTGACAAATTCTGAAAATAGAAAGAAAACGCAAGGAGTGAATACACGAATTGAAACATACAAAAGGAATCTTAATTCAACACACAAGTTATTGTTATATGAATTCCATATTAGCACGTGCAGCATTCCTGACGTTGTGATACGTCAAACTTCAATCTCAGCTGTATTATTAAATGTATGTACGCTGTTTTCAAAATAATGAAAGAGGGTTTTTTTTTTTTGCAACATTATAGATCTAATGGAACTGTAAACCGTTTAATTTTAAACACATATTAAAAGCGTTACTGTAGTGAAACCAATTCAGATTTACGCTTCTATTTATCTGTCTGACCGACCGCTCTCCAATAGAAACCAAAATTCTGGAATTAAAACTCCGGCCCAATAATCTGACAGAATTTACGAGTTAGGGACTCGAAATCAAAAGAAATTTTATCTTTACTCGCTATACTACTCCAAAAAAGAAAGGAGAAAAAAGAATTTGCTATGTTACAGCTCAAATTAGAAATATACTAAATTAAAACAATACATTTTACATGCAATGACAAGGTTTCGGCGCAAACTATTGTTCGCATGCCCAGTTAAGGTTACTTGTCAACACTTTTTAAGCAGAGAGACCGCGAATATAGTGAGGGTTCGACTAGTGTATTTCGTGAAGTCACTAAATTCTAATAATTTGTTAATTTTTCTGTTGCCTAGTCCAGCTACTGTGACCATAGTTAGTGCCCGAACGTTTAACCGGAAGTTGGCGCTTTAAATATAATATTATCCATTAAAGCAACTCTTATATAAATATACGCATAGAATGTATAAACAAAATAAAATAAAATCAAGTAAAAGAGAATTCAATGACATTTCTAACGTGCAATACAGACAACGAAAACTATGAAAAATAAAATTACGGGCTAAATACATGAAAAGAAATGGCGGATCGCCGCGGTCTGATGTATTGGCAAAGCGACATCCGCCAACGCACCATCATGCCAAAATAATAAAAGTTATTCAGCCTGAAATTATGTTACGTTTTGGTACAGTGACACCAGAACAACCTCTTCTACCATGCACTTCTCTCTAAACAACCAAAACGTGTGGTTTTTGATTTTGTGAAAAAATAAAGATAATAGAACAGAAAAAAAGTGTACAAGAGGTAGTTATAGTGATTTTTTGTGTATAAAGAAATAATACAAAACAAAATAGTGATCTAAAAATTTGAACGACAAATTACAAAACCATTATGAACATGCAGTTTACCTATATATAATATATACATAATCTACTTTGCTGTCATCATTCCGCAAAATTCTGAAACATATTATGAATCCTGACATTGCACAAATATCTAAGGTAAGGTTTGTAATTGGCAATTAGCTGTGTTTGAGTTAAAGAAGTATCGTTTGCAATATTGCAAAGTCACATCAGCTGTAAACCCAAAGTTGCAACAGCATGGACATAGAAAACAGAGACAATAAAAGTAGAAAACAGTTATTTTACAAACGAACAACTGCATATATAGTAATAGAGACGTTACACACATCAAAATAATACTACGACAATCTTTCGATTCATATCCACTAAGGGTGTTTTTATGAACCAAGTAAAAAATGACAGCAAAAATCCTCGAACTTTTTGAACATACCTCGTATATATCAGATTAAAAAAAGATACAACAACGTACATTGTTCAATATTAGTTCAAGTCATGTTTGATCAAAATACATGTTTATACCTAAGCTTAAATATGGAACAGAATTAATGCATTTATTCCATCTTGCTTTATGATATCGGAACTTACATTATGCTTGCTTCTATAATTCTTTATGACAATGAAAACCTGCGTTTTGCTGAATTCAATCATGCCTTATCATTACTGAATGCACTTTCATGTAATTTTAAACCATGTGTGTTCCCTACTAAACCATCAAACTCACATATTTTAATATGCTATATGTTTAATTGCATTTTTTTTAAAGGACAACGTGTTATGTTTGGTGTTTAAGATACCATTCTTTATAACTATATGTAACATGGTAGTTGTATCTTTAATTTGCTATTAATCTACCACTTTTATTGTCGGCATTATGTCAAAATAAACTATTCATTTTGATCAATAATTGGCGAAATTGATGTGTCTTAACATTCATATGCTTTAATATATCCACTGATTACAAAAATGATGCAATGCATGATCACTGCGCCTCGACAACGAAGATGACAACGATAGCGATATTATAGTCGCATGTGACAGTACGCACTAAGCAGTTGGCAGTAAGCATAATGCGAGTTGCAATAATTTGTGTTCATATTATGACAGCAGGTGTCGCTTTGTCGGTACATCCCGTTATTTTCCGGATGATCCCGTAATTTGGCACGTGGAGTAAACAAAGTTACGTCCACCTTATATAGGGGCGTATACGGAACAGTGTTAGTTGGGGACTGACATGTAAATTTACTGAAAAACAAGAGAACACGATGCGACAGACGAAAAGAGCGTGTTTTTGAAGATTCCGCCAGCATGTGGAAAAAAAGTTATATATGTCTCTAATAACTCATCCTACAAGTGGCAACTCACCTCTAATACAATTATTTACACTTCTTATTGAGCGTGTGTGATAAGTGAAATTGAATTTTATCAAACTTAAGGTGGCACAAAGGTTAATTGTGTGTGTTTTTATTTATCTCGTGCGCACGAGATACTGTGTCGTGGCCAAGGGTTATCAAGTCGTTTTTTTATACAAGTCGATTGGTCAAAGATTTTGCGTCATTGTGGCCCATATTTCCAAATTGCCTAAAACTCATTTGGTATCATCTTCTGATTGTTTTAGGTTATATAAACTACGGCTTATTCTTTCTTAATCATTTATCAGACACGGATTTTACATGAAGTGTCATGTTTATCTGACCTGTGACCTCAAACATCCTTATAGGATATATTCTGTCAATGGACAATGTCCCTTCCCAATAAAATAAACCTGGACTAAGTCCCTCTAAAGTTATGGTATAAACAAGTTTAACAGGCCTTTGTACGTACAAAATGACCAATTCTATTATAGAATTGTTCCAACAAAGGGCTATAACTTAGTCAAAATTCATGTCTTATTTATGGGCCTTATGATCCTTAAGACATGTATTAAGTTCAAAGTGATCACTTCAGTATTTTCAAAGGTTAATGTTGCACGTAAATCTTTAAACAGAAATTTTCTAAGTTTAAAAATCATGGTGTAATCTTATTTAATTAGCTCGTCTGAACGACTTAGTTATCTCGTTCCCACGACTTGTACGACTTAGTAACTCGTGGCCACGACACAGTATCTCGTGCGCACGAGATAAATAAAAAACACACACATGCCACTTAGTAACTCGTGGCCACGACTTAGTACAGTACAAACTTGATTCTTTTTTGTAAAATAAAATAAATATAATTTGGCTTCACACAAACATTGTGCTTTAAATCCTTTACACTGCAAGTGGGCAGTATGAATATACATGTATAGTGTTATTACAAAAATATATATGGAAGTTTCTTTTAAAGACAGGCACAACTTTACTTGACCCGTAATAAGGAAAGCAGATTCCTATACATTATGTGTATTTGTTTTTATTTAAAAAAAAAAAACATATTTAGTAAGAATTTTATAGATTTCAATAAATTTCTGTGATAAAAATATATTACTGACATATGTGCATAGTATATCTTTAAGCACAAATGTATGTGAATGTGGTAGTGTGTGCGGGATTTCTGATCTATAATCAGACACACATATGCCCAACATTTGTAATTGACTATGCACATGTCACAAAAATAAACAACTTCCTTCTTTCCTTATTATACATATATATTTTAATGTGTTACATACCTATTCGCCACTATTGACTTATTGACTCTGAGACGTTTATTAAGTTAAAAGGCCAATTAATAAGTTTTGCTTTTAATGTCCAGGTCATTAAATTGAGACCTTTGCAATCGCAATACCTTGGCAGGTGCTTAACTGGATGACAGCATTATATGTTTTGATAAGGAAGTACACTTTGACCACTATTGCATGAATCTTACACGTATATATTCTATCCCAGCTCATCAACGTATCTTCGGGGGTAGGTGCAGCCCTTAACCAAGGCCTGAATTCGCCACTGTACGTATAACTGGCGCATTACATAACTGTTTACGAGCATATTTTTTCTATTAGACTGTATACATATACATGTATAAAATTATATTGCATAATCCCTACTACTTGTATTTATATTCTTTCCACTGCAATTTATGTATTAAGCGCTTGGTACTTATTTATAACATTGTCGCCCTCTGTATTTTAACGTATAACCACGATGGCCCTAACGGTATTCCGTAATATATACATGTACGGAAAATTCCGATGATTGGCGAATCATGGGAAAAATCCATTGATATCGATAACAGAGTTCTCGCCCCTTAACAGTTCACAAATCGCTATACATTGTTTAAATTGTTTATCATAATGTAAGATGATCAAACATAATCCACAAAGCCTCAGACACCGTAACAAAATCCATCAAAGAACAAAAATAGTCAATTTTAAATGACTTCTACATAAAAGTAATACAAAAAAAACTAAACCGTAAATAGTTTGTATAGAGCATGAAGAAAGGCAGCTTATACATAAAGGCATACGACGTTAACATTTTAGTATTCCAAATGGCTTGTTCCAGTTTAATAGTTATCACTCAATGAAAGAATTGGTCACTACGAAATGTTTGAATGACATAATGAAAAATGGAATCCAGAATAATGCAACGTTTAAATATCATAAAGCAATATGGAATCAATCATAATGCAAGTTCTAATTTCATGTAGCAAGATGGAATTAAGCATAATGCAAGTTCCAATGTCATCAAGCAAGATGGAATTAAGCATAGTGCAAGTTTCAATGTCATCAAGCAAGATGGAATCAAGCATAATGAAAGTTCCAATGTCATCAAGCAAGATGGAATTAAGCATAATGCAAGTTCCAATGTCATCAAGCAAGATCGAATAAATGCATTAATTCTGTTCCATACTTAAAGCATATGATTAAAGCGTATTCGAGTATAGAATGAATGACAGGAATTCCTACCATCGTAATTTACTTGTCCGTCGCCGTCCAGATCTGCTTCCCTCACCATTTCATCTACTTCCTCGTCAGTCAATTTTTCTCCTAGATTTGTCATTACATGTCTTAACTCAGCAGCACTGATAAATCCATTGCCGTCTTTATCAAAAACACGGAAAGCTTCTCGAAGTTCATCTTCTGAGTCTTCTGTTTTCATTTTTTTCGCCATCATTGTAAGGAATTCTGGGAAATCTATAGTTCCGTTTCCTGTTTCGATTAAAAAATGACCATCAATGACACTAAACAGATGTTCCAAAAATAATTTTTAAATGTAAAAAAGTATTAAAGCAATCTAAAAATTATTATGTTATAAAAAAGCCTTCTAAAATAAGAAAACACCAATACAAATTTAGAAAAATAAATTAAAATAGATCTGTCGCCTCAAACGCCTTCACGCACGTGTGTTTGGGGGTGGGGGGGGGGGGGGGGCGCACGCCCGTTTGTGTGTTAACAGTGTTCGTTCATTGATTTATTCAATAAGAATGTATACGCGCATAAAAATCACTAATGTTAATAATGTTATAAATTGTTTGTAAGTCTTTTTTTCCAAGTATTTTATTACCATCAGCGTCCACCTCATTTATCATATCTTGGAGTTCTGCTTCTGTAGGATTTTGACCTAATGACCTCATCACAGTGCCCAACTCTTTAGTGGTTATCGTACCATCGCCATCCTTGTCAAACAGGCTAAATGCCTCTTTAAATTCTAAAACGAAAATGTTGATATATATACTAAACTGTAATATAGCAGAAAGGTCATTTTTTCACACAAAACTAAGTTTCGAGGAGTTCCACCCAATATTTGTAACGGCAAATAGCTTTTCATGCGTAAATAACCTCTATGATAGGTATTTTGTGATTTTTGTTAATGATCGTTGCATTGTTTTAAAAAATATTTATTTTTCTTTCAATAGCGTTTTAGCTAATTTTTTTTCGGTAATATAAAAACTCTGTGATGTGTAATAAGTCCCTTGATGTCCGTCCGAAGCAATCTTTCAAAAACTTTTTAAAAGTTTTAAAAACACTATCCAAATCATTAAAGCACAATACTAATAAAAAGATCTATAATTAAATATACATTGTAATACTTCATAAAGAGTCAGCTCTACTAGCTAAATTACTGAATACAATCTGTACGTTGTTATAAATACCTGCTATTTGTTCTTCTGTGAGTTGTTCAGCCTAGAAATAGAAGAAAAAGATGCGTAAATGCCTTTGCTAAGCAAAACTATTATGTCATCTACATGTATATAGATCATAGATATATTCCAAATGAAACTTCCAAGAAGAAACGATTGTTCCACTAAGGAAGGTGCATATGTGCGAGACTAAACTATAGCGTCATCTATATTTATATAATCATAGATAACATAATATATGTTACCAAATGTAAACCTCTTCACAACAACAACAACAACAACAAAAACCCAACAAAAAAAACAAACAAACAACAATAAGGAAGGAGTATTTTGGGGGTTTTATTGCAACTGGTAGGAGGTAATGCTTTTTGTTTAGTTATAAGTTATTCATTTCGAATGGGAAGCGGTGGTCTAGTAGTTAAGAATTCAAGGGTTCGAGCCTTAATTGGATCACGAACATGTTTCTTCATATGACATAAATACTGGTTAGTTCCAGGAAGCGGACTCGAAAGTTATTAATATAAGTTGATAGAACTTGTTTCGCAATCGAGCTTAATTAAACAAATATGGCTGTCGGATGCAAATAAGTATTTCTGACTGACCCGAGTCTTCGTGATAGTGATATCAACGTATGTCATTACTGAATTGCTTGGATGTTAGTGAGTCATACTAAATATTTATTATAGTAGAAAGTTTAACAAAAATTTATCCTTCTCAGAAAAGTCCTTTTTTCCATTTAGATACAATATATAATGCACAATTTCATTTTGTATGTTTTGCAAATGTACTCGATATATATGTTGCTTGATAGAATGTTGTTGCTTTTTGATGCAATTATGAATATGGAAGCCAAAATCAAATGGTAAGATTATTTAATAATACAAGGCCGGCAAAATCTGATTTTGACTTACTTATCCATTTTTATTTGGAGTATTTCTTTACTTGTCTGAATGACATTTATAAACTAAATTTTGAAAATTGAAAACTTTCACTTGCCGTAGCCTACAGGCTGGTGGACAACCTTGGCAGTACGGACAATTATTTTTCCGTTCCTGTAGTATCAATCTGTTTATAGGTCAACACGAAGTTTGCTACATAAGTACAATATGTGTGTTTGGTAATGATATCGTTTAAATGTAACGTGCTGGAAACGAAAGTGATAAGATTTTTTGCCGTCTGTGTACAGCCAAGCCAGCCTGTGCATCCTAGCAGTCTTGCCGGAGTCTACACTGTTGGTCGAATTACTTTTAATTTTTTTGTCGATTTCCTTAAAATTGATAACAGTTCCAAAAATTGATGTTGACAGTTCCATAGTTGATAATGGACAGTTCCAAAAATTGATAATGGACAGGTCCAAAAATTGATAATGAATTGATAATGGACAGTTCCAAAAATTGATGATGGACAGTTCCAAAAGTTGATAATTGACGGTTCCAAATATTGATAATGGACAGTTCCAAAAATTAATAATGGACAGGTCCAAAAACTGATAATGGACAGGTCCAAAAATTGATAATGAACGGTTCCAAATATTGATAATTTTTAATGGACAATTCCAAAAATTGACAATGGACAAGTCCAAAAATTGATAATAAATTGATAATGGACAGTTCCAAAAATTGATAATGGACAGATCCAAAAATTGATAACGGACAGTTCCAAAAATTTATAATAAATTGATAATAGACAGTTCCAAAAATTGATAATGGACAGTTCAAAAAATTGATAATGGACAGATCCAAAAATTGATAACGGACAGTTCCAAAAATTGATAATAAATTGATAATGGACAGTTCCAAAAATTGATAATGGACAGTTCCAATAATTGTTAATGGACAGTTACAAAAAATTGGAAGCTTGGGAAGTGCATTAAATTTAAGAATTTGAGCGGCTTAGGAGTATAGATTGTATTGAACAGTGTTGTCAATACATTTTATACAAGTAAACCGATCATTTGAATCCATTCAAACGTTTTCGTAGTAAAATGGTTTAAGCAAAGAAGTATCATAATTATAAATCTTATTGTATACGGAAAATATCAATAAATATTTTAAATGAGCGGGCAAAATCATTTCATTAAATTGTTTACTGAACAAATACTGAATGAATCTAGCAAAAACAAGTTCTACAATACATAACTATACAATCAATGGTACAAGAATTGTTAATATTTGTTTTGAATCTATACCAATTTTAAGTGGTTATAAATCCCACGTGAACAGTTATAAAAAAACGGATTTAGCGTAAAACAATGTCATGTCACACTGCCATAATACCACCTGCTTATAGCATTAACATATTAGCTGGTAATTAAGAAGTCGGGTGCAAAAGTTCGAGCCCTAATCGGGTCACGACCATGTTTCTTCATATGACACCAGTACTGATTGGTTCCAGGAAGCGGACTCAAAAGTGATTAATATAAGTTGCAAGAACTTGTTTCCCCTTTAAACATATTTATTTAATATAAATATGTTTAAACCAACCAAAATTTAAGTGTATGCAAATTGTGAGGGAACTATGTTACATTGTATATTTATATACAGACTCTCCTTAATACTGAATACAATACATACATTTATTTAGAATTATAACAAACAAATAAATGGATGTGTTGCCATTTACAATGTAAATACTTGAATGAAACTTGTCTGAGAATGTGACCTTTATAGAATATCTTGTACAAGTAAGGAGGAAATCTATATTAAATGACAGAGATCCTATACAGTACTTGTATTTGCATAACAAGATAATGTTGAGAATTATAAAATCACATTTAAAGTGATTTCTTAATATACAATAGAAAGGCAAATAAAGAATATTAATTAAGCTATATCTTATGAATTTTTATTCACAAAATTATAAACAGTAAAAATAAATTGTTTCAATAATCTTAAGGCGTTGTAACATAAATATGGTGGCTGATTTACAGCCCATATAAATTATCTCTGTTATTTGACACACATGATAACTGTACAAAATATTGTTCTGCTATTTAAGTAGGATTAGCTCATAAGGAAATATTCAAACATATAACTTTCAAACATGTATTTTAGAATTATTCTTTTTTTTTCAAAATTCGAAAAAAATGTAAAATCCATTCAACAGAGATATAGCTTAATACACTTTAAGCCTCATTTCTGTCTGCAGAAATGCAAAATATTTACATGTATTTACAAGTATGTACATGTACATGTTTTATAATATGTTGTAAATATCATGATTATGGATTTAGAACATGTCAGATGCTTAAATCATCTACAGTAAATATAGTGAATTTGAAATATTTTCTGATAAAGGTACGAAAATGTAAACAAAGTGGTATTTTAACTTTCATACAAAATACATGTAGAAAATCATCTTAACTTAACCCATTTCAAAGATATAGCTGTAACATTTCGAAACTGTTACATAAAATATTTAAAAAAGCTTTTGAAAAAAAGAAGAAGAAAATATTACCATTTTTAGGCTTAATGGGCTGGACCGTAGATAGTAAAATAACGCTTGCTTTTTTTAATACTTTTTTTAATAAAAAACATTAAAAAACGCTTAGGGTAAATAACACGATTTACAGTTGGTTGGAAAACCGGAAAAAAGGTATATCTTTCTGCCTGACATAAAAGTTAATTGAAACCTAAAACCTTTGTTAATACTAAGTATAACTTTTTCTTAAACGGTGTAAATTTTTGATCGGGTTATATTTCTCATCTTTTAATAAATCGCGGATTAAAACCTAGTTAAACCTATTCTACAGGCCACTTTTATGTAATACATTTATAAAAATATTTAAATTAACGTATTCTTTACATTGTATAAAAAGATAATAAGTAACACATACAATAGTAATAGGACTTACGATTATTTTTAATCTTTGGGTTCTTTTCGTTACCATTCTTTTGGTTACATAATAATCACAATTACATGCTGTTTTCTTTCGGAAAATCTTATTTTTTGACCATTTTTGTTTTAATAGAATGTATTAGGTTTTGGTAGTAGTATTTCTTTTTCTTCAATAAATAATTGAATTGTTAAAGAGTCGATCGATTTGTTCTACAAAAATTTAATTAAAAAAAAAGATTAAAAAAGGATGTGAATTTATTCTTTGATACGATTTTCGTCAATGTCGATAACATGTGTTGCATTTATTGTGTTTAAATAAATGTGCATTACTTAATATATTCAGTCCTCTATCCGGGTGTTATCAGTTGTCGTAAAGCTTATATTACCATTGATTTATAGACTCAATAAAAAAGTGCGTCTAGGAGGGTAATATCTTAATATTTTGAACAGGTAAAACAAACATAACAAGTTTCACCACATGTAATAATTGGCTGTAAGAATTTTACGACAAGTTTGTTCAAAGAGATAAAATGATACTCAGTCTACAGACTTAGGTCATCTCCCTTCAAACAAAATTGATGGTCATCGCATACTAAGGTACAATATTATATTAATAAGCTAAAATGTAAATTACCTTTAAAGTAATGTAACTTTAAAACCTTGATACTTTATTATAGAAAGTTGGCAGCGTGTCGTTTTTAAGAAGAACAAAATAGGAATAACAATGTTCTAAAACATGTGCGTTTTGCATTTTAAACTAGGGCCTATTCATTCCTACTCCATCTTACAGTAACCCCACCCTCCGGCCCACCTCCGTCTAAAACAAAATGATGTCCGGACTGTCCGTAAGTGCATTTGTTTATAGATAAATATATATTATAAAGATTTAATCAGTTATTTAACAACATACAATCTTTTTACAGATTGAAAAACGCATTTTAATAACGAAAAAAAACATTCGCAATATAATAGTGAGTGTATGTGTGGTTTAAACCAGCAAACCACATCTCATCTTGTATATGTGTCACCATGCCTTTATAAAAAAAAAACATAATACAAAATAAAGCAAAGCACGCTTGAATCGTACTGTGAAATGACATTTACTTTTTAAAAAAATGAAATAATGTAAAATTTTGTTTACCATGTTATTAAATCGTTTATTCCTATATTCCACACAGATAAATCACACGACCCGTCAGTCTACGCTCTTCTTTGTAAAGTGTTCAAATAAAGAGACAACGAGGGTCTCGAAACATTTCAAGTATTTGTTTACTTTCCATATATGGGTTATATATAACTTGTTTTAACTTGAATATTAACACTGTCATTGTAAATATTTTCGAACTGATACAGTATGCTATGAAGTTTACATTGAAATGCAGTTAGTTTTAAACTTTTAAAATTTCATTCTCAAGCGGTATTTTTTTTAAAACATGGATGCAAATTGATATTAATTGGAAAAAAAACACACACGGTTCTGGAAAACTTTTTTTTTTTAAAAAGTTTTCAAATTAAAATATAACAAAATAACATAGAATCAATAAAAACAAACGCTTATACTGAAGCTCATTACCAAACCCCCCATTCTAATAAAATTAGAAAGAAAAAAAGAAAAATTACCAAAAATGCAAATAAACAAAACACAAACAAAAACTAAACAAAAATATGAATAAATAAAAAATAAATAATTAATTAATAGCCAATGAACTTTCAGCGTTTAATAACGTGATGTTCCATTTGATCAAATCTCGTTTTCATTTCAAGAGTAAAAATCCATATCATTCCCCATATGACTTTGTTTAATTTTCAGAGCCTGAAATATCTATATCAAATGCATATTGTACACAATAAAGTCTCGTGAACATTTTCATCAGAGCCAAAAAATCTATATCAAACGCATATCGTACTCAATCAAGCCTCGTTGCACTCATAATTTTTTATTGTACTTTCTGTGAAAATGTAAAAAAGGGAAATAAAGAGGACATTATACATTGTTGAGAAAAATACTGATTATATTGGACTCGTACAAGCTGCACTATTGGACTCGTACAAGCTACATGCAAAAACTATATCAGACTCAGACTACTTCAATATAGATTTAAAAACTGTGTACTGGTCCAATAATATTTAGTATTGTTCTCAACAATGCATAATAACCTCATAATATTGTACCGATAAAGCATTATTATATAGATCTCTTATTGACAATTTTTCACCATTAAGCGTATGTTTGTTAGGGCAGAATTGCGCTGCTCTAACGCAGTGTATGGCCTTTTTTATGTTGATAATATTTTGCTGTTTAATGTTCGCATTGTATGACTACTTTTGTACGGACAGTTAATTGCTGCCTTTGTCCGTAGTGTATGGCTGCTTTTGTGCAGACATTATTTTGCTATGTATGTCCTTATATACGGACAGTATATTTGTATTCACTACCTTTTGTCCACGGTTCAATGACTACTTTGGCGTTGGCCGCATTTTTCCTCTTTTTGTGTTTGAAGCGTATGACTACTTTTGTGTGGACAGTATTTCGCTGCTCGACGCCCACAGTTAATGAGTTTTGTTTGGACGGTAATTTGCTTCTATTTGTCCAGTGCATGACTAAAGTATTTTGCTGCCTTTTTGTTCACAGTGTATGACTTCTTTGTTTTGTTATGGACAGTATTTTGCTGCCTTTTTTGTCCACAGTGTATGACTTCTTTGTTATGGACAGTATTTTGCTTGTCCTTTTTTTTGTCCCAATTTATGACTTTTTTATGGACAGTTATACTTGCCTCCTTTTTTTGTCCACAGTGTATGACTTCTTTGTTTTGTTATGGACAGTATTTTGCTGCCTTTTTTGTCCACAGTGTATGACTTCTTTGTTATGGACAGTATTTTGCTGCCTTTTTTGTCCACAGTGTATGACTTCTTTGTTATGGACAGTATTTTGCTGCCTTTTTGTCCACAATGTATGACTTCTTTGTTATGGACAGTATATATTGCTGCCTTTTTTTGTCCACAGTGTATGACTTCTTTGTTATGGACAGTATTTTGTTGCCTTTTTTGTCCACAGTGTATGACTTCTATGTTATGGACAGTATTTTGTTGCCTTTTTTGTCCACAGTGTATGACTTCTTTGTTATGGACAGTATTTTGCTGCCTTTTTTGTCCACAGTGTATGACTTCTTTGTTATGGACAGTATTTTGTTGCCTTTTTTGTCCGCAGTGTATGACTTCTATGTTATGGACAGTATTTTGTTGCCTTTTTTGTCCACAGTGTATGACTTCTTTGTTATGGACAGTATTTTGTTGCCCTTTGTCCGTATGTAAGAGTACTTTTTGTGTGAACAGTATTTGCTGTCTTTTGTTCGATAATTTTGTTCTTGTATTGGTGTTTATTTCGTAGGCAGTACACTTTCGCGCTGTTTAAGATAGTATATGTTGGCACTTTCGTGTAGACAGTACACATACAAGTGTAGCTGCCTAAATTGTTCACAGCAAATGTATATTGTTGCTTTCCTGTTTCTTTTGGTTCGCAGTATCTCAGTACTTTTAAGTAAATCCAGTGTTTTTTCTCACTCAATTTGGAAGAGGTCTTATCCTCTTGATTTTGGGAAAATTATCACTAATATTGTTAATTTTGGGAAGAAAAAAAAGCTGCCTAGTTTAATGTCAAATTTTGGGTAAACTACATGATTTCTACTGACTTTAAAGAGAATTTCGATTGGGAATACGCTTTTTACAGGTCTCTGTTACATAAGGTGAAAAATCACTAAGATTGTACTGTACAATAGTTGATGGTATATTCTACTTTTGTGTGAATCGTTTGTTTTTTTTCTGCAATCAAATTCACCCTTGTCATGATAAATATGTTTTCTTTACTTGCCCATCTTTCAATGTAGACAAAAAAATTTCATCATATATTAGTAGAATTCATGTTAAGAACAGATTTTGTTATGCTCAGTTGATGCAGGCACGTTGTAAGGGTCACTGATACATTTTTCAACGGCCCAGTACGAAATGTTAGATAATTAAAGGGACATCCACTATGGTATTTTTGTTATGACGGGATTGGAATTTCTTTTTCGAGATTTGTGTACCGTTTGATGTAGGTCTGAGCCAGTAACTTGTGTGCAAATTTTCAGGCCATTTCCTCACTCGTTTTTTTTTCTCTCAGAATAATCATTTTTATTGTGCAAAAATGACTTTATATACTATCTTATCATCTTTGGCATATTTTTCTATTTTAAGTTCTTCACTTGATCTATGTAAAAAACTTCAAAGCTTATATATGTTTTAGGCTTTTTGATCTCAGTCGGGTACTTGAACTGAATTTTTAATAAATTCTGAAACACCCCCGCATTATAAGATTTTTTTTTTTGATTTATGATAATTTAGATAATACATGCATTAACATATATGGTATGTTTTCTCTCGAGATTTATGCCTGTGGTTTAAATGTAATTTTATACTTCAAGTTTGCATGTTCGTCTTAAATTTAATCTGTCTCGCTGTTGGCACACGGATCGTGTATGGCGACCAACATATTTGTTATAAATTTTTGTAAATTATGCATTTTAGAATATCACATAAGTGTCGGTGACTCAATCGGAGCATCTCGGCTATTACCAAGACTGACGGAAAGGGCCGAAAAGTTGGGATCGAGGGTGACTGAATTAGAATGGTATATCGTGCAGTGTATCTGTCCTATAAGAATTATATTCGAACAGTATATAGTTTTTTTATACAACAATTACCAAAATGATCAACTTGTTTATATTCTGTTTTCATTGTCCGTGCTCTTATAAAGACCAACTGCAAGGTGCATCATAAATATGGTACGAAAGACCGGTGGTCTTGAATTTTCGGGTCCATCATCACGAATTCACAAAGTCAACTTCATGAATTCACGCTTTCAGCATACAAAATTCATTAATTCAAGATTTCAACTTCATTTATTCAAGATTTTAACTTGACGAATTCATGATTTTGACTTCACGAATTCAACTTCACGAATTCACGATTTTGACTTCACGATTTCAATTCGTGAAGTTGAAGTTCAAAACATAAATTCATGAAGTTGAATTCATGAAATTGAAATCGTGAATTCGCGAAGATGAAATCGTAAATTCTAGAAGCTGAAATCGTGAATTCACCAAGCTGAAATCGTGTAGTTCAAAACATGAATTCGTGATGTTGAAATCGTGAATTCATGAAGTTGAAATCGTTAATTCATAAAGTTGAAATCGTGAATTCGTGAATTCTGTATGTTGCAAACGTGAATTCACGAAGTTAAAATTGTGAATTCACGAAGATGAAATCGAGAATTCACGAAGTTGAAATGTCTCCACCGGTCCACACAAGTTATAGGATGAGATATTATAAATCTGATCATCATAATTGCATAAAGGGGCAGATAAGTCGTGGTGTAGTTAACCCCCGGGCATAAATAAAATTTGCAAATAAAATTGAAGTATACTCAATACCTCTAAAAGTACCATATCTCAAACAAAAGCAAATCCTGTCTAAACATATAACTACTTTGCATCTATACATGCATGTACCTATATTATGGGTGAACTCATATTTCATTTGATTCATAGTTGTATTTACTTTATAAATCTTACAATGTACATGTATTACATGTACATTATTTATAGCAGTATACATGTGTCAATCAAATGATTAATTCTGAATTTCTGATATCATTACGTTTTCAGTATAGACATTCCAAGGTTAAAATAATCCTTAAAAATACAAACTATTTGCACATCATATGATAATTGCTGCCTTAATTGGGAAAGGTGGATTTAAAGGGAAGAGGGGGTTAGAAGATTTATTATTCAATTTAAGGGGAGCTTCAAACAATAGGTTAAGGTATCTGCCTTTCAGCTTTTGGATCGTGGGTTCGAGCCCTTCTACAGTCACGTCAATGTTTCCTCGTATGCTGCCAAAATAAAGTAAGTTCTAGGAAGAGAATTCAAGAGTACTTAAATAAGCAACAAACTGTTCACTTTCCAGCTAAAATAAATGGAAATGTTATGGTCAAACTTAATCAAGCAATTATGGTTACTTGTAACAATTATTCTAAATGACTAAATATGCCTGATATAATCTATAATATATTATTCGTCTTATATAAAATGCTGTAACTTCTCTCATGCAAGTAGATTCTTCTTCATGACCTTAAGAGGTCGAGGCTTACCGACAAAGTACAGGCAACTTTCCAGCATTACTTCTGAAAGGAGATCTCAAGTATCTCTTCGAGCATCTATATCTGAGTAGAAC